TAGACTGTGTGTGCTTGGTGGACTTTTTCTGGCTGGCTGGAGCTGTGGCTAGCATGGGCTGGGAATCTGGGGGCTTTCCAGCAGCAAGAACCCTGTCAGGGTAGCTAAAGCCAAGAGGCTACAGGCTGTGGTGTCCCAGTGTTCTATGCACTGAGGACACCCTTCCAGGACAGCTGAAGCTGTGATGGGTACAAGCCAATTGTCCCAGGACACTCTTTGCTTGGGGTGCCTTGGTGGGGTGGCTGAATCTGGGGCAGTGTAGAGGCTGGGAGCCTCAGAGCTCTGTGCAGAGAATACCCTGGCAGGGTAGCTACAACTAAGCTACAACTAAGGGGGCAAGCCACAGGCACCTGGGGCTCTACATGAGGTTCATCTTGGCAGGACAGCTGAAGCTGAAGTAGATGTAAACTGGGGCGTTCTGGAACTCTTGACACAGGTGCCCCAAAGAGGCGACAGGAACTGAGGAAGGGAACAGTCTGGGAGGTCCTGGCATGCTCCATATAGAGGCAGGGGAGCTGGCAAGACAGTCAAAGCTAAAATGGGCATGGACTGGAATGGCCACTGAGTTCTCTGAACAAAATACACACTGGCAGGATAGTTGAAGCTGAAGGGGTTGTAAGCAAGGGTGTTCCAGCACTCTCCACACAGATGACTGGTGGGACAGTTAAAGCTGAATTGGGTAGAAGCTGGATTATCCGAAAGTGTTCAGGGCAGGGAGTGCCCTGGCCAGGCTACTGGAGCCGAGACTGGTGTAGGCAGGTGTTCTGGAGTGTTCCAAGCAGGGGTGCCCTGGCGGAGTGGCTGAAACCATGTCCATGACTTTTTCTTCTCCCCTTTTATCTTATTTCTGAAATGCTTTCCCATCAATGCTTTGTTCCTATTTCTCTTCCATGGATGTGTATAAATATTTTCACTAAAATATACTAAGGGGCTTATTAAAAATACAGATTTGGGGGCTACCTCAAAATAACTATGGGTGATGCTGGTAATATATTCTCACGATATTTCCCAGATACATATTATGACATTAATGTTTGAAAAACACTGGTCTAGACCATGTGCCCTGAGAGCCTGTCCATTAATTTTTATGAAATTTGTGCCAACCTTTAGGATTACTAGGCATGCCTTGTTTACTTTCTCTTTCTTCTTTCTCTTTTTGGTTTGATTTTATTATTTTTGCATGAGGTTGAGATTAATCTGTCAGTCATATGGATGGATTTGTGTTTTGCCCCCTAGACTCCTCCTGGGTGAAACACACAGTTTTAATAGGTAAACATTACTGTTTTATCAATTTATGGGCCTTGTGAGTTGGAAAGAAGTATGGAATGCAGAGAGAACTCTCAATAAGGCTCTCAGAAAAAAGAAAAAACACATTAGTGTGGTGGTGCTTCTGTGTTACATGTATTACACATCTAGGGCTATTACTGAGAATCTGAGGGGTTGATCTTCAAGCATTGGTTCAGTTCTCTTTGCAGGAGACGTGAAATTATTGGATGCGCTGTAGTCACATAATATTTTTTAAAGTTGTTTATTGGTTCTGTCTGGTAAAGCTAACTGGATTATTTCTAGTTTTTATTAGAAAGGAGTTTTCAACTCACCATCCCTGGTGATGGGATGTCAATAAGACAAAGAATCAGATTAAGGAAATCTTTATATGGCAGTCAGTTTTAACTTGTATTCTGTTCAAGGCAGGAAGAACAAAGAGGTAGAGGAGTATGTTCCCCAGGGTTTTGAAGAATTGAACTTGTTGCCATCATACTGTTTTCTAAATGTATATTCTTTATGAATAGAAAACATGACAGAGGGATCAGGTAAATAAACCTTAGACAAGGATTCATGATGATGCTTTCCATATAAAATAATTCCCTCGTAGCCCACAGCCTTATACAAGAATTGTCTTTTTGATTGTTTGCTTGGTTCAGAATTTGACAAGGGGTGGCCCAAGCAAGGAGTGGGTGGTGGTGGGTAGCAATTGTGAGGCACAGAGCACTCACTGCTAAGGCTGGGGTTTTCTGTTCACACTGGGTGGCCTGACATTATCCCTCCCGAATTCTTTAAACTGATTTCCTAAATTAGTTTTACATTGGATTGTAATTCATGAGGTTGTGAAGGACACTTGGGTTATAAGTAAGTTTTACATTGTTTTAGTGACGTTCTCCAATAGCACTCCAGGGTATTTCCATTCCAGTATGAGAGACATCAGCTATATTCTTGTCTGAAATGAAACATCCACCAAGTTCAAAAGTAATTATTTTTTTTTATTTCAACTCTATAAAGTATACAACAGGCACTCGGCAATAATAGCTGCAGGAAAAATACAGAGCAAATCAAAGCAGATTAATTTTATGAAAAAGTTTTTAATCTACATCAAAAGAGTGCAAGTGGTCAATGACCATTTGATGACAGTTGTTGCATTCTGACTAACAAAGGACTCCTTCATGTAGAACAAATTGTAAGAGGACAATCAACCATAGCTGTAAGAATACAAAAGAACTGACCAGTTGTAAAAACATCATACAATGAAATAAATTGGATAGATGATGCTTGAAGAAATGTCCCTTTCCTTGGAAAGCCCAAACCTCTGAGTCATGGTCAAGGTCCCAGAGCTCTGTTAATTCAGGGGCAGATAAAGAGGAGGGCTAACAACACACTTCCAATGTTTATCTTGCCTGGTCTGTTGAAAACTTGCCTCATAAATGATTTGCATATACAAGAACTCAGAAAGCATCCTGTTTTGTTGAGGAGTGCACCAAGGTACGTGTTCATCATTGGTTTCATAACGAGGCATGGTTAGCAGTCACTTCCCAATTTTCCTTTTGATTTGGATAGTTGGTAATGGAGTCTATAAAATGAGACGTTAGAACTTGACTGCACTAAGTGGTTTTTTGTTTTGTTTTGTTTTTAACTGAATCTGCACAGCTTAGCAAAACAGGAATACCTGTATACAGACTGATAGTATGTCATATATTAATCTGACCTGCACATACATTTATACATTTCACAGAAATGACGCTGTATCTCAGTAACAGATACACAGCTCTGGTACGTGTAACAGAAATAAGAGAACAACTTCATCATTTCTGTAATTAATCAATATTATATAATAAAGGCTTATAAATTGTTAGCAGAAAGAACTGTAAAACGCAGCAAGCTAAGAAAGGACAACATTTTGAGGTGTATTTGTCTTTGTCATGCAGCATAACACCAAATTTGTTTTTTAATAGGATGCCATGAATTTAAGGCACTTGCAACAATGCCAGATAGCCAGGTCATGTTCTAAACTATGGAACAGATGAAACCATACAGTTGACATAATTTTCAATAATACTGACAATTATGACATTAATTCAAGTCTACTTGGACCTAAAAACATTATTCAATACAAAGGAAATGAAATAATAATGCTGTGAAACACTAAAAAAAGTTATATGTACCACAAAATATCACACAAAAATATCTATTTACATAAATATTTGTCTGTGGTCCTATTGTGAAAGAAAACGTCATTATGGATAACGCACAGATCACCTCTACCGTATGAAATCAGTTCTAATATCCTTATTTTCAGTATGGTAGCTGACTTCTTTAAAATTTCAGTTTACCATCAGTTCCATCATGTAGAAATGAAGTGAGAAAAATTCAGTAGCTGAATTTATATATTACACATGTGTGATTCACATGCATATCCCATAATTTTAAGTAAAAAAATGTGACTCGTAAAGAATGTAATCAAAAGAAATTTGTTTTCAACGCCACGTGGATCTGATTTATATGTGAGTTACAAAGAAGATATGAACATAAAGATCATTTATAGCAAATTTCCAGAAATCATTTTCTCTAACGTGTTCAATTTAACTCAGATATCATGATGTTCCTTTCCTTGGCAGTTTTCAGTTTTCCTGTGTATCAAGAGGCAAAGAAAGCCCTTATTTCCCATACTCAAAGTATTAACAAGAAAGTCAGTTAGCAAATCAAACAAGTTGGCACTATTCTAACTTACCCAGGTGTTCTTTAGTGTAAGAAAAGAGAGGGGCATGAACAGTTCAGAAATAAAGTGAGATGCGTTTTCCAAAGCTGACCGTGAATTTTAGCCCTAGTGTCTTCATTAAGACAAGATTTAAATCCTTAAATTTCAATGCTGAAGATTAGAGGACTGTTTTCTCTTAGCAGTTTGTGGAAGATGTAGTTCACCTTTTTTGGTTAGTGATTGCTGTAGACCTCCTAATGCAATGCCACCGGTGCAATGTAACGAAGCTGTGCTAACAGGTGGGAAAACTGATGGTTCCATTGAACTGGATGCTACTTCTTAATTCCTCCGAGAACTTGTACACAGTGTTGTCTTAGACTTGAACCACAGCAAGCGCTAGGCTCTGGTGCTGCTGGGGCATTTGAAAAATTGCAGGAGCAGATTCTCTTAGTGACCACATAATATTCTAGCAAAACTTTACTGTGCCTAAACCTCTTTTAACAAAAATCACTGAACAGTGACCATGATGTTGGAATTATATATTTTTAAAAGCCCAGATAAAAGCAGTATAAAATTTCTGAAATAGCATTCATAGCTGGATTTTAGGTTGGTAGGTTTACTTTTATATTCTGAAATCTGTTGAAGAACGTGGGTATCTTGGGGAATAAATTGATCTTAAGCAATTATTTGTAAGGAAGGGAAAACACTAACACAAGAATTTAACAGTAACATCTTGGGATCAAACTTTTAATGTAATTCTATTCTGATAGTATATAGTATGCTCTTAGTATTTTTACTCCCCAAATGTTATATTATGTTTTGATACCATATTCTAAAGTAGTCTTGGTATGAAAAATTCAAACCGAAATCGTAATATATGCCTTCCTGGGTATGGTATGATGACTTGTGTGGACATATTTTTTTGCAGAAATGCTTATGTTTCATTGACTTATAAAAATACCTTAAAGCAACCTTCAATTTAATACACCAAATTCACACACTGTTCCAAATCAGGATGAGTAATTGTATAAGAGTATACAATTATTTCCTCAGGTAGAACGCCACTTGTCCAGGAAAAGCTTCCAGAATGGTCCACTACCTAGGATAGCTAATTGTAGTCAACTTGCCTGCCAACAAAGGACTTAGTTTCAACTGCTGTTTCTTTACCCCTCATGAAAAAAGCAGGTAAGTTTTGTATGTTCAAATGCATTTCAGGATTGCAATATTTCTGCCCTACTTAGCTAAAGCTTCTGTTTGAGAAAGCAGGGTCCTGTTTTCTTCTCAACTTCCTTCCTACTCTCACACGTGCATGAACTCACACTGGCTTATTCACCAAAAAGTCAACAACACCTGGCTAGGTCTGGTCCCATTCCCTGACCTCGAAGAAGCAAGCTTTCCCATATGGTGAATCTCAGTGATTTTTGTGCTTTCCTCCTCTTCCTCTTTTTGGTTCAGGACTAAGACAAGAAGCCAGTTGAATGGGTTTTAATCCCCTTTCCCCCTCAAACCTAGGCCATGTTGTGTAAGTGAAATCTGATGGGAGTTTGGTTGGTAAACGTAGTGAAGAATGCTTGGGTCTCTGGCTACACAGGTGATGATTAGAATTTGTGTTGTCTTCTCAGACACGGACATTTACAGATGAAAGATATACATAGCACCTAGATAGTTTTTTATTTTTATTTTTGGATGGATCTTAGTCCCTCTCCACCCCACCCTGCCCCCACCCCCAAGGGTTTCTTTTTATAAAAGGGAATATTTTAAGCCTCAGTCCGAGGGCATGTTAGGTAATAAATAAAAATCAGTTGGCTGCTAGTCGTTTATTTCCAGGACCATCTCGAGGCACAGTATTTTAAAAAGATATGAAATGGTTTGTGAGTTTTTTTTTTCCACTCTGTCATGCCAATTAGTCAAAAGAAGAAACAAATATCATGCATGTTTTTTTTTTTCAATCCTCTGTGAAAACGCATATATGCCTGCTATGAGAGTCCTCAGCAGAATCTATAGCAGTTGTGCTTTTGATCGTATCAATTTTTAAAATCTGTCGGAAAGGAAAGGTAACATTCAGTCTCGTCATCAGCACGGCTGGGAAATTAAATCAGGAAACTTCTAGCACTGGTTTGACATGCCCTCTTGACCAACAGACGTGTGGCCCTCTTCCGTGCGGTGTAGACACCGGCTTGCGTGAATGTATCCTCCGACCTCCCCGGAAGGAAAGGAAGAGCCCTGATTTTGTACCACGGTCATCTATTGTACCCGCTATAGTATTTTCTGATCTTCCTGATAATTCTAGCAAGGTCCAGACTCTTTGACTAGATTGACGTGTTTCTGACAGTCTTTCAAAGTATAGTCAGAGCAAAGCAAGGTCATCGCAACACTAGAAGACATCTCATTACTGGGGTGAAAGGCTTTGCTTCAGGACCACCATGTCAACTGCTATTTTGAGGATCCAACAGAAAACATGTAAAGAGCACTACTGTCATCTAAGCAATAAGTCCTAATGCCACTGTAGTTACCGGAGCAGCATCGATCAAAGGCATCATGGTGACCCCGAGCACTAATCTTCTCTCCGTCCCTCAGGTTTGCTGGCAGCTGTGTCTCAGGAAAGCTGACTTCAGCAAGGCAGAAGCAGGTAAGAGAAATACATTAGAAGTCTATGTCCCATCCCGAGTTGTCATCAGGGGGCGGCTCATCATTGTCCTCAGGGAAACTGTCGAAATTGCTTGTGTCTGTGGGTGATGCCACCTGCAGGTGAGAGGAGGGACAGGGAAAGGATTTCTGCATTGGGGAGTCAAATGCCAAACAGAGTCTTACAAAGCGTTCTTTCTTCATTCCCCAATCAACAGCTATATTTTTAAGCGTCTACTAGGTACAGGTTTTGTGCTTTGCATTGGTGGGGGGGGCACAGTGGTGACTAAAAACAGACATGGCTCTTATCATCATGGAGTTTCTACTCTAGCAGAGGGTACACTATACGATTAAAACAAAGAATCTACAGCTGATTAGAAAGTTTGGTTACTGCTATGAAGAAAAATGAGTATAAGAGGGATGATGGAAAGCCACTTTGAAAAAATTTTATTTTAAAACTAAGTATTGGGTTCGATTTTTGCCCATGCAAAGGTCCTGAGGTGAGAGTGCTTTATGCTGTGAAGCAATCAAAGAAGGCCAGTGTGGCTGCCGTATAGGAGAGGAGAGTACTTGAGTGAGAAGTAGGAGAAATCAGGTCATGCAGAGCCCTGTACACTATCTTAAGGCTTTTGTGTAATTCAAGGGTACTAAAAAGCCATTCCTAAACTCAAGCAAATTACTGGGTAAAGGCCCTTCTGGAGAACATCAGTAAAAGCAATCCATGCTTTAGTTTCCCTCATATTCTAGGATATTTACAACCATGTATATATTAATAGTGAATGAAATATATATGGGTATAATCCATAAATATATACTGTTCAGTAAGGCTTACTATTTACCCTCCAAGTTTCTTATTCTATTTTTGTTCTTAAAACAACAACAACAACAACAACAACAACAACAACAACAAAAACCCCCAAAACTTCAGGTATGCCATTAGTATCTGTCATGGGAAGTATGGTAATGGAATTTGTTTTGTGTTATCACAGAAATAAAACTTAAAAGTAGGGAAAACATTTCTGTATAAAGAGCAGTCTTGAGTTAGTCCCAGAAAAAGGGAGTCAAGACCTGAATGGCTCAGGACAGCAAAGCAACCCCTTGCCTCTTTGTAAAGATACAGGACATTTCATCGGACAGATTTATTTTATTAAAAAATACTTGATCACCCTTAGTGGGCTGCTATTTAACAAAACACCTGACATGCAGAAAAGACAGTTAAGGAAAGACAATCCTTTTCTTCTGGAGCCTCATGAAAGGGTAGATGAACAGAGTATTGCCTGCGAGTACTTGGAAGTGAGCTGGGAGCATAAAAGAGACTATATTGGCCAGGAATTGGTAGCTGCTGGAAACAGAGTGCATAGGAATGCTCCGAGTGGCTTTTATGGGTTAGGCTCTTGGGAACAGAGCGAGATAGGGCATAAACTGGGATCATAAAGACAAAATAATAGCCCATTGCCCTAATTCACCCACATGGACTCTTGTATACACTAAACTGGTCGTAATTCATGAGTAGTCTTAATGCATGAGTAGTCCTAATGTATTCTTGGGCAATGATGTATGAAGTTCAGATATTCTGGAAAAGAAAAAAAAAAAGGAAACTGGTTGCTGGACACCCGTTATGATGTTCTGTCTCCATCAGTGGATACTGAACACTTATTGTACTGCAAGCCCGTTTTTAGTCACAAAGAAAGAAATTAGAATGAATAGTTTAGAAAGATAATGGCAAAGTATATATAAAACGACCATACCCTAACTGACTTGAGTTTAGGCTTGGGTTTTATATACGACTATTCTAAGATGGTACTTCTGTAGTTTATTTAATCGGAACATACGATAAAACTTTAACATTGACATAAACACTGTACATGTGTCACAGAGCTATAAGTTGGATCGTGTACTTACACTTGGTATTATGGGTGGTGTCAAGGTCCCTTTTCTTAAGCCTTCCCAGTTAAAGCCCTCAAACCATCTAGGGAAGGAAAAAAAGAAAAGGCAGCTAGTTAAAGGCATTTTTCTTCAGCTAAAACTTCCCTGCAACATACGTGATAGAAAGGAACTAGGCAAACATTTTCCACGTGACAAGAATGTGTTCTCTTTAATTGCAAATTTTTCTACTCAGGGTTTTTAAAATATGCCTTCCATACAGTAAGTTAATTGTTGAAATACTGAACGCCAATTAGAAAATAACTCCTTTTCCAGGCATTTCAGGCAGAATGTCTGTATGACCTTATTCTTATATTATCATTATAACTTAACAAATGTCATGATCTGCTTGGCCCTGAGCTTTATAGGACATTTGATTTTAAGGCTGTAGAACCAGGGCATGAAAAGTCAGGATAGAAAATTATCCTTTTAGCTTTGTACTGATTCTGTGGGTGGCCTCAGTTAATTAACCTTTCCACATCACTGTATTAGGTCTAACTCTGACTTGGCACTTTTTTTGCATGTTCGTAGAAAATTAAATATGCAATACTAGGGTCATAACAATTCCTAATAAAATGGCAACACATTTAATTAAAATAGACTGAAGGTATTTTGTGTAGTTTTTCCTGTGAAAATGCAGACCAGACAATGCTGAGGTTTTTGGTTCAGTTCTGTCTTTAAAGTAGCAAATGCTTACACTAAATTCTGAGCAGGCATTTTAGATATTTTGATACGTAAGTTCATCTGGTATGTGAATTTCTTGTGAGGGTTGCAAAAACAGACTCATTAAAAAAAAAAAAAAACAATTTGGTCTTAGTTTAGCATTCAAATATCCAATTAACTAGGTAAGGTTTAATATTTAAGATGTTGCTGTGGTTTAAAAAAAAAACACTTTTTTTTTTCTTTGTCATCAACTTAGGAAGTGGTGAGAAAAATATATTCCAGTTTTAGTCTGGGAAATGAGGTATAATATGGTAGAGGACTTTTGTTTTTGATACCCTGGTAGAGAGGAGAATCCCAGAATTAAAAGTACACATTTCCTCTTTGAGCTAGAGAGGAAAAATGCCCATTAGTGTGAGTTGGGAGAAACTGAATTCGGTGAACCAGTCGCTTAATATGGCTTGGGGTCGTGTGTATCCGTGTGATGTCCCCGAGATACAGCAGAAGGGCCTTACGTCAGAAGGCTAACTGGTCTGACGTCCCCTTGGGTGCTCCCATAGGCTAAGTGTGCACCCATCACCCAGCTGGGGGGAGCAGGTACCTGTCTTGCTTTCTGGACCCTCCACAGAAAGGGACGAGGAAAGAACACTTACTTGTGCTTCTGAATGTCTTTCACGCCATTTTTCAAATTCCCTAATCTTTCTGATGGGTTATCCCTGGAAAGAAAATAAGAACTGTAAGGAATCTAATCACTTCTGAATTAGGATCCTTTCAAAAGCTATGGGGCTGAAATACTTACCTGCATAGTTTTTTAATTAAATTAGCAGCATTTTTGGCAATCTTCTTTGGAAATTCTATCATGTCAATCCCCCTCAGTATGATGTTATATGTTTTCATAGGATCTGGGCCTGAGAAAGGTGGGCTGTGAGAGAAATGAAAAGAGAATCACTTTGGTTTTCTAAACAAGAAATCTTGAATTGTTATAACCTCACAGAACATCTATTCTTATCTGGGGACACACTGAGTAGTGGTAACGAAATGATGCTGGATTAATAGCAAAACAGGATGGAAACCTTTTCAAGGAAATCACTTAGCAAAACCATCCTGGGTCAAGTTTGTCTGCTGTCTTTTTAGTGCAGGTGCGGAACCCCTCTTGCTGTCCTTGGCCATTCAAGATGCTTCTTCCACCTTCTAGCCCTTTCCCTGCCCTTGATTACACCTGAGATGAAGTCCAAAATCACTAGAATGTCCCAAGGACATCAGTGATAGGACACCATCGCCTGCCAATACTACCCTCACTCACTAGGATCAGCACACCGTTACTGGTCACGGAACTGATCCCATGACCTCTATCAACCAACATAAAGTTTAAATTAAAGGATTAGATTAAGTTGTTGCATTTTTTTAAAAGATTTTATTTGTTTAATGTAATCTCTGCACCCAATGTGGGGCTTGAACTCACAACCCTGAGGTCAAGCGTCGTATTGCTCCACTGACAGAGCCAGCCAGGCACCCCTTGAATTTAAACCTGTGGCCTGCCATGCTCTCTGACACACCCTTTATGCCACTTTCTATGCTTTGCATCTGTCTTCTTTCCAGACTGTCTTGTTCTCAGTCTTGCAGTATTCCCAGAGTGTAGGAGAATGCCCAGCACAGAGCATGTGATCAGTGATCTGCTGCGTCCTTCTGCAGAGGAATGCTCCTCCTACCCTCTCCTCCCGGTCATCAGTCCTCAGTGGATAACCTGACACAAGGCATCCTTATTAGGAGGCCCCACGAGCCAGACCAATCCGCGGAGCGTAGCTTTGTGCCAGGCTCAGGGAACACAGAGATGAAAAAGACCCCTCCTTCCATCAAAGTGATGCACCTGGACAAGTAATTGCTTTGGAAATTGTTCTCCTAATACCGGATTCATGTCTCTATTGATAATTATTTTTGCCCATCACATTCACCAAGAGCAGTTCAAATTATTTCCTTTGAAGGAGCGGGCTCCAAACAAGGAAGGGCCCCAGCGAAAGTGTTCCTGGTGATGTTAGCAGGAGAGCGGCCGTGGCATCTTTGGAGTGTGGCCTCTGCTCTACACCCCTCTGCTCAGCGCCTCATACCTTCACGGAAGCCCCACAAGGGACCCGAGGCTTAAAGTCCTAGGTCTCGCTGTCCTTTCCACTACCACTTTCTCTTTAGCAAGCCTTTCTTCCCACAGCCCTCTTACCTGTTCGAACTTCTGAGCTTCCCAGATGTGAATTACTGGAATGCCCTTCCACCCAGCGAGCCTGTCCCTTTCCTAGTTTGCCCCTACACATGAGGACTGGCTGCTTATTCCTAAACCCTACCACACAGGTTCCTACTCCTTTTCAGAAAATACTCAATGGCTCCTCTGGATGAATTGCAGACATTCAAGTGTAGCCAGCGGTGAGCCTCAGGAGAGGACTCTTACCGATCTCCTATTATTATTAATTTCCTATTGAAGCGTAGCTGACAGTGTTGATTAGTTTCCGGTGTAGAACATAGCAATCCCACCAACCCCTGTGCTCACTGCAAGTGTCGCTGTCATCCATCCCCAGAGAGCACTGTACTACTGACTATATCCCCTGCGCTGTGCCTGCCATCCCGACTTCCTCATTCCATGGCTTGTACCTCCCACCCCGCCCCCTCCGGCCCTTCTGGCAACCGTCAGTTTGTTCTCTGTGTTTATGGGTCTGTTTCTGCTCTTTTAGTTTCTTTCTTTTTAAGATCCCACAGAGAAGTGAAATCAGATGGTATATGTCCTTGTCTGCCTGCCCTATTTCACATAGCATGATACCCACTAGGTCCATCCATATTATTGCAAATGGCAAGATCTCATTCTTTCTTATGGCTGAGTAATAGTCCTGCGTGTATGTATCTGTATCTATCTCATCTTCTTTATCCCTTTATCTATTGACGGACACTTAGGTTACCTTCCTTACTTGGCTAATGTAAATAATGCTGCAGTACACATAGGGGTGCATATATTCTTTTGAATTAGTGTTTTCCTCTTCTTTGGGGAATACCCAGTATGGAATTGAATTGCTTGGTAGTCCTAGTTTTAATTTTTTGAGGAACGTCCATACTGTTTCCCACAGTGGCTGCACCAGTTTGCATTCCCATCAAACAGTGTATGAGGGTTCCTTTTGCCCTCCACCCTCCCCATCATTTGCTATTTAACCATTCTAACAAGTGTAACAAGTGGGAGGTGACATCTCATGGTGGTTTGGGTTTGTATTTGAGCATCTTTTCATTTGTCTGTTGGCCATCTGGATGTCTTCTTTGGAAGAATTACTATTTAGGTCCTCTGCTCATTTTTAAATTGAATTATTTCTTTAGTATTGAGTTGTAGGAGTTCTTTGTATATTTTGGAATATTAACCCCTAATTGGACATATTATTGGCTATATTGCAAATATCTTCTCCCCTTCACTAGGTTGCCTTTGCATCTTGTTTCCTTTGCTGTGCAAACTTTTAATTTTGGTGTAGTTTATTTTTATCTTTGTTTCCCTTACATTAAAAGACATATCTAGAAAAATGTTGCTAACATGGATGTCAAAAAGATTACTGGCATGTCTGGGAGGCTCAGTTCGTTGAGCATCTGCCTTTGGCTCAGGCCATGATTGTGGGGGTGTGGGATGGAGCCCTAAATCAAGCTCCCTGCTCAGGGGGGAGCCTGGTTCTCCTCCTTCTGCCCCCCGCTCATTCTTTTTCTCTCAAATAAATAAAATCTTTTTAAAAAAACATTCTTGTCTATGTTTTTTCTTCTAGGAGTTTTATGGTTTCAGGTCTCATATTTAGGTCTTTTATCCATTTTGGGATTATTTCTGTGGATGGTGTAAGGAAGTGGTCTAGTTTCATTCTTTTCCATACAGCTGTCCAGTGTTCTGAAGAGACTATTTCCACCCTATTGTATATTCTTGCCTCCTTTTTTGGAGATAAATCGTTCATAAAAGAAAATGTTTATTTCTGGGCTCTCTATTCTGTTCCAAAGATCTTGGTATCTGTTTTTGTACCTGTATCATATGGTTTTGATTACTACTGTTTTGTAGTATATCTTGAAATCTGGGATTGTGATGCCTCTAGCTCTGTTCTTTCTTAAGATCACTTTGGCTATTCAAGGTCTTTTGTGGTTCCATACAGAGTTTAGTATTATTTGTTCTAGTTCTGTGAAACATGCTATTGGCATCTTGATAGGAATTGCACAGAATCCGTAGAGTGCTTTGGATAATATAGACATTTTAACAATATTAATTCTTAATGTCCATGAACATAGAATATCTACTTATTCCAATTTCTTTCATCAATACTTAATAGGTTTTAGAGAACAGGTCTATCACCTCCTTGGCTAAATTTATTTTATTTTATTCTTTTTGGTGCAATTATAAATGGAATTGGCTGTCTTAATTCTCTTTCTGCCACTTTGTTGTTAGTGTCTAGAAACACCACAGATTTCTGTATATTAATTTTGTATTCTGTAACTTTACTGAATTCATTTATAACAGTTTTTTGATGGAGATTTTATAGTTTTCTATGTATAGTATTAGGTCATCTGCAAATAGTGACAGTTTAGCTACTTCCTTACTAGTCTGGATACATTTTATTTCTTTTCTTTGTCTGATTGCATCAGCCAAGACTTCCATTACTATGTTGAATAAGAGTGGTGAAAATGTATTGTTTCTGGATCTTAGAGAAAAATCTTGGTTTTTAGCTATCCTATTGGGACATTATTATGTTAAAGCACGTTCCATCTAAACCCACTTTGACAGTATTATTGTAAACAGATGTTGAATTCTGTCAAAAGCTTTTCATGTATCTACTGAGATGATCATATGGGTTTTGCCCTTTCTCTTGTTCATCTGATTTATAATGATGATTAATTTGAGACTATTGAACCACTCTTGCAACCCTGGAATAAATTCCACCTAATTGTGGTGAATGATCCTTTTAACGGATTGTTGAATGTGGTTTGCTAATATTTTTTCAAGAATTTTTGCATCCATATTTTCAGGGATATTGACCTGTAGTTTTCTTTTTTGGTAGTGTCTTTGGTTTTGGTGTCAGTACAGTGCTGGTCTCATAGAATGCACTTGGAAGCTTTCCTTCTATTTTTTTCGTAATTGTTTGGGGGAGATTAGCTTTAACATTCTTTAATGTTGGGTAGACTTTGCCTGTGAAGAGTTCTAGTCCCTGCCTTTTGTTTGTTGGGGTTTGTTGTTTACTAATTTAATTTTGTTACTTGTTTTTGTTTGTTCAGATTTCTATTTCTTCCTGATTTTGTTTTGGAAGATTGTATATTTCTAGAAATTTATCCATTTCCTTATATGCCAACAAAGTGGACAATCTAAATTTTTATAGCATTCATGTTTTATAACATTTGTATTCCGTTGGTGTCATATTTTACTTCCCTTTCCTTTCTGATTTTAATTATTTGGATTTTGGATCCTCTTTTTTTCTACATGAGTCTTGCTAGAGGTTTATTTTTTCAAAAAAAAAAATTCTTACTTTCATTGATCTTCTGTATTATTATTTCTTTGGTCTTTTTTTCCTGATTTTTATTATTTCCTTCCTTCTAACTTTGGCCTTTGCTTGTTCTTTTTCTAGTTTCTTTAGGTGTAAGGTTAGATTGAGAATTTTCTTGTTTCTTGAGGTAATCCTGTGCCCTATTAATTTCCTTCTTAGAACTGCTTTTGCTGCTTCCCAAAGTTTTGGATTGTTGCATTTTCATTTGTCTCCATATATTTTGTTTGTTTCCATGTATTTTTAACAATTTCCTTTTTGATTTCTTCATCGACACAGTGGTTGTTTAGTGGCATGTTGTTCAGCCTCTGCATGTTTTTGTTTTTTTTCCAATTTTTTCTTGTAATTGTAGTTTCATACCATTGTGGTTGGAAAACATGTTTTGTGGTCTCAGTTGTGCTCAATCCTGGGGAATGTCTCATGTGCACAGGGAAAGAGTACATTCGGCTGCTTTGGGCTAGAATGGTCTGTACATACGTTATGTCCATCTAATCCCACATGTCTTCCAAAGACACAGTCTCCTTATTGATTTTGTTGCCTGGATGATCTGTCCATTGATATAAGTAGGATGTAAATATCCCCTACTGTTATTTTATGACTGTCCATTTCTCCCTTTATGTCTGTTCATACTTGCTTGATAGATGTAGGTGCTCTCATGTTGGGTGGATCAATATTTACAACCATTAGGTCCTCTTGTTGGATCGATCCCTTTATTACTGTGTAAGACTTGTTTGTCTTTGTTACAGTCTTTTTCAGTCTATTGTATCTGACAGAAGTCCTCCTGCTGTAACATTTATTTATTTGCTTTGCCTTCCTTTTGCATGGAGTATCTTTTTCCATTTTTTCACTGTCAGTGTGTCTTGAAGTCTGAAGTGTGCCTCTTGCAAGCAGTATAGGTCTTTTCTTTTTTAGCCATCCCATCATTCTGCATCTTTGATTGGAGCATTTAGACCATTTACATTTATAGTCACTGTTCACAGGTGTGTACTTACTACCGTTTTTGTTAGGTGCTTTCTGGTTGTTTCTGTAGTCCTCAGTTTCTTTTTCTCTTCTCTTTCCTTGATGAGTTTCTCTAGTGTTATGTTCGGTCTTTTGTCTATCTTTTATAGTTTTTAGGTTTGTGGTTACCATGTGGTTATAGTCTTTAGGTTTGTGGTTAACATATCCTACTTTTGGCAATGTTAAGTTGATGGTGACTTACGTTCAAAGCATTCTAAAAGAACTTGATTTTTACTCCTTTCCTGCCACTTTGTGCATATGCTGTCATACTTTACATTTTTTGGATATAGTTGATTTTACTTACTCTTGTCTTCATACTAGCCTTATAAGTCATTGCTCTATTACCTTTACTGTATGTTTGCTTTTATTATAATTTTCTTCTAATTATGGTCTTTTCTCTTCAACTGAAAGAATTCCCTTTAACCTTTTTTTTTTTTTTTTTTTTTTTTTTAAGTAAGGCCTGTTTAATGGTAATGAACTCCTTCATTTTGATGGCCTGGGAAACTCTCTCTCTCTCCTTCAAATCTGAGTGATAAATTTGATGGTAGTGTATTCTTGGTTGTAGGTATTTTTCCTTTTGGCACTTTGTACCATGCCACTCCCAGATGATTGCAAAGTTTCTCCTGAAAAATCAGTTGATAGCCATACATAACTAGGAGTTTCTTTCTGGCTCTTGAAAATTTTTTTTTTCTCTTTAATCTTTGACAGTTCAAATATTATGAGTCATGGGTTTATCTTGTTTGGAACTTTTTGGGTTTCCTAAATCTGGATGTCTATTTCCTTTTCTAGGTTAGGGAAGTTTTGAGTTATTATTTCTTCAAATATGTTGTCTGCCCTTTTTTTGGTCCCCTCTCTCTTCCCCTTCTGGGAACTAGATAACGGGAAGACTGATATTTTCTAAGATCTCTCTCCCTCTTTTGTTTGTTTGTTTCTTTCTTTCTTTCTGTTTCCATTACCCTGCCTTCTAGGTCTCTGATCCATTCTCCTGTCTCTTCTAATTTTCTCTTGCTACCTTCAGTATATTCTTCATTTCCATTATTGTGTTCGTCAACTCTGACTCATTCTTTTTTCTTGTATTTTTCTATCTCTTTGTTAAAGTTCTTACAAAGTTCACCCATGCTTATCTCCATTTCATTTTTTTTTTTTTTTGAGTTTTGTGTTGTTCTCTCATTTGCAGTGTAGTCGTCTCTTTCCTCCTTCTGCTTGACTTGCTTTGCTTCTAGAATTAGGGAGAACAGCTACTTCTCCACTTGAAGGAATGATCTGGTATATGGTCACCCCTGTGTAGACTGTGTGGCCTGGTGACTTTGGCTGGCTGTACAGAGCTGTAGCTATCCTGGGTTTGGGGGCATGGACCATTTTTGTTTGGGGCCATCCTGGTAGGATGGTCAGAGCAATGTGGGCAGGAGCAGTCCCAGGGTTCTCCACAGAGAAGATGCCTGGCCAGGACAGCTGATGCTCAAGTGGGCATGAGCTGGGGTGGTACTGGGGCTCTCCAGGAAGCAGACACCTTGAAGGACAGCTAGAGCCATGGTGGGCACGGGTAGGGCTTATCCTGGCAAGGTAGGGCATGGCTGGAGTGTTCTGGGGTGCTCTGCACCTGTTGTACTTTGGTGAGATGGCTGGAGTCATCGTGTCCTGGTGTGTGCCATGCTGGGGCCACACTGGTGGGACCAGCTCCAGTGCCCAGGTTCTGCTCCTCTCTGCACTGTCAAGGTGGTGGGAAAACATAAATAGGGGTGCCTGCCAGCCCCTTCGACCTGTAGGGAGTTCCAGCAGCTCTCCCGCCCTTGGGCAGGATTCTAGGGCTGGTCCCTTTATTTGAAGTTGCCCTTTTAAGCCATGACTTTTTTTCTTCTGTGCCCAGTGCAGAGGCATCTGTTCCCTGTCCCCCCTGTACTAGGCCTCCTCACTGCAGTTCACCCTCTCACCTCTATCTCCCCTGTCATTCTCTAAGTGGCCCCTCTCTATCTTTTGATGTGCAAAAGCCATTCAGTCAGCCCTCAGTTTCCCATTATTATTTTTTACACGAAGCTACTGCCCTCTAGTGGAGGCATGTCTCTGTCTGGACTGTCCTCTCCTTGGTCATACGTCCAAGACCCCTTCCTTCAGGACCTGGCTGTGGTCTTGCCTTACTCAACAGCTTCCCCTGAACACACTGAGCCCTCTTTGGAACTCTGTGCTTTGTAACGACCCTACTACTACTTGTTGCCTGGTCCTGGCAGGATGGTCTATTGGTTTTTCTTGTCCTTGGGGAGCTTACAATCTGTATTATACCTGGAAGTAGCCACAGTACCCTTTTTAGTTGTGGATGACTGTAATATTATTACACAGAAGACCTGCACAGCATTCTCATTTCATGTAGATGTAACAACATGTTCTCTTATTTCTACGAATAGTTGGCCCTAGATATTTTTATAACACCATTATCTCCCTTGCTCCATTGCTGGCTAAGGGACTAGGCTCAAAGACCTCCTGGAAAGACACAAGATTATTCCACACTCTCATATACATATAAAAATTTAGCAATGATGAGGCCAAAAGTTGGCGTTGAGTTTTTTGCCCTCATTGGACCCATTTTAGAGTTTTGTTTGATGAACTCTTGGTCACTAGCATAATTCATGTAAGTAGTGGAATAAGAAAGACTGAGATGTGCTGGAAGATGGCCTGAGCAGAGGGACAAAGGCACGCGTGTGTAGCTGTCCACTGGTCTATTTTTATCAGTGGTTCTATGTCAATGCCCATACCTGCCAGTCAGAAGTTCATACATCAGGATTCCCAGTGACCAGTAGTCGGCGGAAATGTCATGGCCTTTGTTCAGGATGATCTCTGGGGCTACGTACTCCGGAGTCCCACAAAAAGTCCACGTTTTCTTTCCAAATCCTATTTTCTTTGCAAAGCCAAAATCAACCTTACAAAGAGAGAGAAACAGGTTATTTCAAGACCCTTACATAAAGCTGAAAGGCAGTACCGAGCTGCAGTGCACTGATGAGACAATAAAAACTGAGGCACATTCCTGGGGTCCCGGGCTCTGAAAGAAGTCCTCTTTACAGCAAACGACACAGCCTCCCTCAGGTTCAATGGCAAAAGCTGAAACCTGAGTTGAGAATGAAACCGGCATCATCACAGATAAGGGCAAATCTTTCTTTCCAGAAATATTTTCCATCTCTTCTTCTTTTCATGCCAAGGGAGGTTGGGCCATAACTCCTTTAGTGAAAATGTTTAAAAGACCAGTTGGACCTCCTTGACCAATTTTCCCGAATATGCAGGATTTCTGCTGCCTTGAGGCTGTTGGGAATGCATTTAGCATTGAGAAGCCACTTGACAGCTGAAGAAGCTGAGGCACAAGCTTCATCCCAGCCCTTGGTATACACAAACAGGGACAAAATGCAAATACGTTCTTTGTTTTTTTTGTTTTTTTCTTCTAGCAACCTTTTGATGGAGGAGCATCAAATGCAGAAAATCTATTTTTTTCTAAAACAATGTGGTTGAGAATAGAAATCATTAACTGCCCTTGATTTGATTTCTTTGAAAACCACAGGCTGAATGGAAATTCCAAAAGTTGGAATATAGAGTCAGGCACTGGCAGATGCAATGGCCATAAAAACTGTACATTTTATAATAAGAGAACTTCTGTCCTGTGGTAAGTCTTTAGAGGGCTTGACCAATTTTATTATTATGAAGATCACTACTATTATTATAGTTAAAATGGCCCAGATAACATCACCTACCAAGCCCCCCCCCCCCCATAAGATTATACATGAACCAGGGCGCCTGCGTGGCTCAGTCAGTTTAGAGGCTGTGTTAGGCTCAGGTCATGAACCCAGCAGCCTGAGATCCAGTCCTCCTGTGGGCTCCCTTGCTCAGTAGGGAGTCTGCTTCTCTCTCAAATAAATAAATAAAATCTTAAAGATTATACGTAAAACGGTTCACTTTTTTCTACAGTGTAAATATTCCTTTCCTGTGAACGGCAGAAAGCAGATTCAGAAAAGGTCTCCAAAGGTCTTCTAGATCTAGAACACAGCCATTTAAACACATTCTGCATGGCAGTATTAAATTAGATGTAGCCTATTTAATTTCTTACACAACTTTTGCATCACTTGAAAAGAACGGTTCCTTGAGAATAGCAACCCTAAAATCTGCTTTTAAGAAAAGTTACAGCAGTTACACGGGGAAATGGAGATGTTCATGAACACAGTTTGACAAAGGAGTATTTTAAAACTGCAGGGCAGACACGGTGTGTAGAGGGCACTGACCAGCTTGGTGTAGCCTCTGTGATCCAGGATGAGATTTTCTGGCTTGAGGTCCCTGTAAATGATTCCTTTGGAATGCAGATAGGCGAACGCTTCCACCACGCATGCTGTGTAAAATCTGGTCGTAGAATCTTCAAATGAACCTCTGAGACACAGAAAAGGAAAGCACAGAAGACATTAGTTTCTCGGACACAATTTCAGTTGTTTTCTCATTTCAAGATATTCCTGTGCTTCATTTGCAAAGAATGGCTGTTTGAAAACAGTAAAACCAAAATCTGCTTTTAAGAAGTTACTGCATTCACAAGGGGAAATAGAGATATTCATGAACACAGCTTGACAAATGAGTATTTTAAAACCTCAGACCTGGTTTTTTTCCTACAAAGTTCCTCAACTACTAATGTCCCCTGAGTTATCACTGAAATAATTAGCTCTTCCCAAAGAAACAGTTTCCTTTTGAAATACAATTCAAGGCATGAGGCTATCTACACTCACAGATACTAGAATCTTCACTCTCCTTAGGAAAACTCTAGTTCCTCTTCAACAATGTATGCACGAAACAATTGTGAATAGATAAGGACAAGAAAAAGTTTCTCCGAGCAGGAATGATACATTGTATGCTGCAACCATCTGCTGACTTGGAACTCACTTTGCAGAGGGAACACTGCAATTCTGTGGATTTCGGTGAGCCTTTTTGAAAGCCTACAAATTCTTGGTTATTCTTTGGAATTGTTTCTGCATTTGTCACTCCGGGCAACATTTCTGTTTTCCTTCTTATTCACTTGGTAATGGGACGAAATAGACAAATACACTGTAAATATTGTCAGGATAGTGAACATTTACAAGAGATCAACCTCTCATGAAATCTCGGCAGAAGGTGTATTCTGACTCAATCGGTCACTAGCAGGAAGATGAAAACAAAAACCCTAAAACAAACTCAGATTCACTGGAGGAGGCTCTAAGTTAGGAATATGGACACTGAAGCAAGAAACCTGGGTTCAAATTCGGGTTTCACTTATTTAATTTTGAGCAACTAACTATGCCTCCCTCAGACTCTATGATTCTCTTGTGCAAAATGGGGCCAGTAATAGAAACTATCTCACTGGATTGTCTTAAGTATACAAATAATTGTTGCGTATATTTAGAATTAGTGCCTGGCACACAACTGGGCCCCTGGTAAATATGAGCCATTCTAACTGAGCACTGAAATAGTCTTCTTTAGCTGCTGTGTCTTAATCTAGGAAAACTGAATAACATAGACACATCTGAAGTCTTCTGGGGATGGGAGTGAGGAATCTGTGATAATTAACACTGTCTTTGGGGTATTTGCTGCCTTTCATGGCCAAGGTTAACTGCCATAGATCACTCCCAACTTTCATCGTAAAGTAAACTGACCACCAACATTCACCTTTGGGTCCTCAGTGCTTGACAGCTCTGTTTCAAGGTTTCTCTGATTCTGAGCCATTTGGGAATTTGGAAGGTTCTAGAAAGCTGGTTTCCATTCCTTGAAAAATCTATTTTGAGTCTCTCCCCTACAGAAGCATATTTGTAACTGATCTTTAAAATTAAATGAAAATGCTATCTCAAATCTGTTTCCATGTTATGGGGCAAATTGACCTAGTATATGCATACAAAATATCTATCAGCAACAGAGCTTTATCACTAAACCTTTGATGTGGGTAATTTGCAGACTTTAAAATGTACTTCTAGAATGCAGTCACAAAGCATAGCATTCGGGTGACTCAAAATGAAAAATTACTATTAGAATTGAAAATGACAACATATATTTGATCTAAAATAAAAATGAAAGCTTGTTTTATCAACAGAAAGTTGCTTAAAGAAATAAATTACTGCCCTAAATAGCTCTTGAAAATAATAAATTATGCCTTGACAGTTGTGTCATTTCAATTAAAACAAGGACGGAATAGGGTCTTATACTTTCTTTGGGAAGGGGTGGTAATTTTATTTTAGCTAGATGGGAAGGGGTGGTAATTTTATTTTAGCTAGATGGCAGTTGATAACAACTTGAGAGAATTAGAGGCGTATGTATACTTATGGATAGACCCAGCTTTCGATTTAATCACAGTGTTTAATCTACTTGTCATAAATAGGGTCCTGAAATGATAGAAAGCAGCAAAGATACAGCACGTTCCTGTTTTGCCTACTAACGCCAATCATGAGTATACCTGAAGGGTATGGCAACCCACGAAGGTTAACCACCAACTGTAAAGTAAGGAATATGAAATTAGTATGAAAGTGACTCATTTCCTTGAAATACTGCTTCTCGTTGTGGTCCAAGTGTAAATACAATGTTTCAGATGTACAACCTAACAATTCAGTGACTCTACATCACTCAGTACTCACCATGGTTCAGTGTTGTCACCATCTGTCACCAACATTATTACAATATCACTGACTGTATTCTCAATGCTGTACTTTTCATCTCTGTGACTGATTTATTTTATAACTACAAGTTTGTATTTCTTGCTCCCCTTCATGTATTTTACCCATTCCCCTCCCCCTACCCCAACCTCCCCTCTGGAGGAGACAAACCACTGGTTTGTTCTCTACGTTTAAGAGTCTGTTTTGTTTTCAAGATTCCACAGATGAGTGACAGCATATAGTATTTGTCTTTCTCTGATTATTTCACTTAGTGTAATACTCTCTTGGTCCACCCCTGTGGTTGCAAATGGCAACATCTCATTCTTTATGGCTGAGTAATGTTCTGTTGTATATGTGCACCACATCTTTATCCACTCATCTGTTGTTGGACCCCTGGGCTGCTTCTGTATTTGGCTACCGTAAATCATGCTGCAGTAAACATACAATCACAGTAAACACATGAACCCTTTCACTTTAGTGTGTTTTCTTTGGGTAAATACCCAGGTGTGGAATTAGGGTAGTTCTATTTTTAACTTTTCAAGAAACTCCCATACTCCTTCCAGAGTGGCTACACAGTTTGCATTCCCACCAACAGTGCGAGAGGGTTCTTTTTTCCACATCCTCGCCAACACCTGTTGTTTCTTGTCTTTTTGATTCCAGCCATTCTGACAGGGGTGAGGTGGTACCTCATGGTGGTTTTGATTTGCATTTCTCTGATGAGGAGTGATGTGGAACATCTTTTCATGAGTCTCTTGGCCACTGTGTATCTTCTTTGGAAAAATGAATATTCAGATCCTTGGATTTTTTTTTTTTTTTTTCCTTGAGCTGTAGGAGTGCTTTATATATTTTGGAATATCAACGCTTTATTGAATATGGCATTTGCAAATATCTTCCCTTACTCAGTAGGTTGCCTTCTCACTTTGCTGATGGTTACCTTTGCTCTGCAGAAGCTTTTTATTTTGGTGTAGTCCCAGTAGTTTATTTTTGCTTTTGTTTCCCTTGTCTGAGGAGATGGATTTAGAAAAATGTTGCTAAGGGTGATATCCAAGAGATTACTACCTATGTCTTCTTTCAGGGGTTTTATGGGTTCAGGTCTCACATTCAGGTCTTCAACCCTTTCCAGTTTATTTTTGTGCCTGCTGTAAGAAAGTGGTCTAGTTTCATTCTTCTGCATCCAGCACTAGTTGTTGAAGAGATTGTCTCGTACCCATTGCATATTCTTGCCTTTGTTGTAGATAACTTAACTATACAATAGTGGCAGTTTACTTCTGTGCCCCCTATTCTGTTCTACTGATCTGTGTGTCTGTATTTCTGTCAGTGCCATATTGGTTTGATTACTACAGCTTTGTAGTCTATCTGGAGACCTGGGATTGTGATACCTCCAGGTTGGTTCTTCTTTCTTAGGCTTGCTCTGGCCATCTGGGCTCTTTTTTTGTGGTTCCATACAAATTTTAGGATGACTCCCGTTCTGAGAAAAATGCTATTGGTATTTTGACAGAGATTGCAATGAATCTGTAGAGTCCTTTGGTAGTATGGACATTTTAACAATATTCTTCCAATCCACAGGCATGGAATATTTTTCCATTTGTTTGTATTACCTCCTTGGTTAAATTTATGCCTAGGCATTTTATTCTTTTTGGTGCCATTATAAAGGGGATTGTGGTCTTATTTCTTGTAGGTGGGCATGGGGAAAAAAGTGGCAGGCTCACTAGGTGAGTGGTCCACACTTAGTCTTTCTGCCACAGCTGTGGATGCACCGAAGGGCTGGGCTTTTCTCGAGGTGGTGGCAGCTGGAAGGCTTGGCTACTGGGATGGTGCTGTGCTTGGATTATCTTCCCCTCTCCCCCCAAGCAGGAGTCCATCTGGAGAGATGGCTGCTGAGGGGAGCTGGTGGAAAGAGACAGGTCCACAGGGAATGCGGGAGTGGGCCACGCCGTGCTAGCAAGCTAGGTGGAGAGGGTTAGCACTGGCTCCCACAAGTGTCTGGCCATTGAGGCTGGAAAAGGGAAAAGAAAAGATGCCTGCCAGCACTTTTTTCCTGGACAAGTCTCCTGAGGATTCCTGCCGCTCCTGTGCACACTCTGTGAATAATTGTCCTTCACGTGTACTCCAGGCACTTTCCAAACTGCTGTTTCCCTGCCGTTTTGGCAACTTGTTTACTGTGCTGGTTCTTTCGGGGCAGGGACCCTGCTTTCTGTTGCCCTCAGGCCCTCTTGGAGTTAAGCCCACTGACATCTAAAGTCCCTGGACCCAAGTCCAGCTGATTTTAAAACCTTGCCGAGGTAAGCCTCATTGGTTTTCCAAGCCAAATGGTGCAGGTTCTTGTTTGCCCTGTGCAGCCCCCCGGTGCTGGGGGGCCTGGTGTGGGGTCTGGTCTTCCTGCTGCTTCTCCCGGCCAGCGGTGTCCCTCCTGATTGCGATTGATCTCACAGGAGATGGGATTCCCAACCATGTCTCCACGCCTCCTCCCCTTTCCAGTGCGGGCTCTTCTCTACCATGAAAGGTGGAAGGCTTGCTCTGAGTCTTCAGGATGGTTTCAGAGGTCGTTGTAAAATGTAGGTGTTATCTTAGTGTGTCCCCTGGATGAGGTGGTTTCAGGATCCTCCCGACCCCCTGACATACTTTGGATCTGCACTCTCCATTTTGCCATCCCAGATGGAATTTAAATAATAATTACCATCCACAACAGAGTTAGAATCAAAGAGGATGGAGATTTAAATTACTCGCCAGCTTATAAAACACATCCAGGAGGACACATGACCAGAAGTGAGATGTGCCTGATTTGAAAATTATGGTTTCTAAAATAATTAAAATATTCAGTAGGAAATACTAACCTATATTTAAAAAATTTTACAGTAGCAGTTGGAATGTTAAATTTTAGATGACTATCTATTATACCAAGTTTAATAAATATGTGTTTATATTAGTAAATATTATGACATATCAGCATTTATATACAATCATATTAATCTTTCATTTTTAAGGAAGTCATAGGGATTGCCAATTCTTTCAGTGTTATGGAGGAAAGGTGAATAAAATATAATGTGTCCCAATCTATTCCAAATACTGGTACAGAATGTGTGGAAAACAAAAAGTCATAAATAAGAAGATTAAAACACGTTAGCTCCTAAGGAATAAACCAGAGAAATAATTGCAACAATTAACATTTCAGTGGGGTTATTTGTATCTCAAAGATAAACTTAAGAGTCCTCCAGTCCTCTTTGTGTATATGGTATCATTTTACTTTATTTTTTTGTAGTGTTTTAATTCTTAGTTTTTGACAACAACAAAAAAACCACTCTGTTCCTTTTCTAGGCGGATGAGAAAAAAGAGAGCCAGGAGCTGGTCATCTCACTGGCTAGGTGAGAGGAGGTCTGACTGTGAAAGAGACTTCCTATGCTAAATCCCGGAGGCTTAGAGGTATTACCATGTCAGTACAGAATAGCCACAGAAGCCTTTCTTAAAAATCAACCCAAACACATTTCCTTTATCCTTTCAGAATAGCTTCTCCCTACTGTTGCTTTCCTCGGATGCGAAAAGAAAGCTGAATGAATTGAATATGAATTGATTTGATTATGGATATTTTCATAGACACTGTGACTAATAGAATTATTTTCCTTTTTCTCTTGGCATTTTTGTTGTTGTTTCTTGTGAACAATTAACCTTTAGGACTTCCAGCCTCAAACAAAGAGTGACAGAGCTAGTCAGTCGCAGGATTCCTTGGAGCCTCCATCTCCACAGCCAACCCCCTCACCTACTGCTGTCCCCCAGGCCAATTTTTTGAGTAGGGGGAAAAAAGCAATAAGGTGCTACCCGCATCTGTGATAGATCTATTGCTCTTAATGCTGAGGCTTTGGTCGTCCTGACTCTTTGAGAAGGAGCAGGCAGCTTTTATCTCCAGATCGTGCCTCTTCACATAGGAGTAAGCGCATTGGGGCTGGGGGACTCACCAACTGTGTATCCCAAACCCAATGATGATAGAAGGGAAGGAAATCGAACTGTCCAAAAAAGCATCCTGGTGGAGGTAGAGAAAGAACCATCCAGGGATAGTTTGCCTCCATCCTCTCCTCCAAAGGTAATTCATTTATTAATAGCAACCGTAGGTGCCCTTGCAGATCAAAACAGGTCTCCCTCAGGAGCCTGGGCTGGCTTTTATGAGCCAACGAAATGCAAATCAAGTTAAATAGGGAGACATAGGAAATAATATTTTCTTTCAGAAACTAGATTGAAATTGGATTCCTGTGCATGTTTACATGTGGACTTGAGATTGACTTGTGTTGCTGTTGCCTGCTTAAAGAAGTTACGAGAAGCTTGAAGCCATTCCTCTCTCTCTGTGGCTTATTATCGCTTTCACGTTTTCTTCCACCTGTAAACCTTCTATTCTAATTAGAACAAATCAGGGACAATATTTCAAATAAATGAGGGGCTTGGAAGGTCAGGTCAAAGATGATACAGTAGAGCCACATTCGGAAGAAGCAGACATTAACTCAGAAGTCAGAATGGTACCTTTATGCAGCAGCCTGTAAATTAGGAGAAGGAGACCACATCTTTTTTTTTTTTTCTTTATTTATCATTGATTCACTGGCTTTTAGCACAATGCCTGGCATATAATCTGTGCTCAAATATTACTAGAAATCATGCAACAATGTGCTATAAATGTCTTAATACAGATGTTCACTCTGGCCCCAAGGACAACATGATGCATTGCCCTGTATAGTTGTTTACTTTAAATTTAAGAAGTGAAACACAGCATCAGTGTAATTAGGACAAGATAAGGTAAAAAGAAATCGACTTGATATATACAAGGAAGGCAAAGGGGATAAGACCCTAAAGGTCAATGTTTGCAAAGATAGGAATTGCCGTAAGAATGCTATTAGGGATGAGACTTCATAAGCTATTCTGGGTTCTATTAATTACTATTCTGGGATCTCTACAGAGTAACAAGTTGTCAAAAAATAGCCTGGCTTTCTGGAAACAACAGGGCAGTCTAGGACAGAGTTTTAGTAAGAGGTTACCCAATGAAGGAGGACATGGGTAAGACTGTAACAAATATGAAAAAAAGAAAGGATGCCAAAAAGTGAACCTTCAAAGGAACAAGGATGATGTCTAAATGTTTGATCAGTCATAGGAAATTCACAAGGGAGGAAAATTGTCTTTTAAGTAAAAATTTAGGATTGGTAATGATCTCCTGGGACATTTCATAGAATCGATTTTAATTTGTTAGTTCTACAAATAGAGAAACAAGCACTCACTAGAGCAACTTTATTTGCCCTAAAAGGGCAAACGTAAGTAAATCTGAATTAGATTGTTTATGTGAAATACTGCTTATAAGTAGATTCTTTTTTGCCCAAGATCAGCTGAAAGCCTGAAGAAGATGGCTGGAACTTGTTAATTTTGAAACCGAAGAGCAATGTAAAGCCAGAAGAAATGGTAACTCAGGGGAAAACATAATTCTCAATGTCAGGAAAGGCAGACAGTCCATCTGGCCAATGAGTTAGACAAGTAGGCTGGTAATTAATCCAGATAGCAACTAGAACAAACCTCGATTCCCTTCATGTCACAGCAATGAACTGAATTCTAGGTATACGGTTAACTGATTGATATTCAAGTTCAAAAAAGGCCATATACCTTGCTAGGTTACCGTTTCCATGCGGGACTGACCTTTATCATTAGTTACGAATCTGAAACAAAGCAAGTGTCATATGTACTAAAGCATGTGTGTACAGTGGGTCCCACCCTATATTTACTTATTTTCTGAAATATGAGCATATGTAACATGTAAATATGATCTTATACTTTATAACGGACTCTTCTTGTGGACCACCAGAGTCAACATTTTAAAAGAAATGATAGAAATTTCTTAAAACTCCTACCTATCCCTGAGAATGGTCCAGAGCTCTCCTCCCAGGCACACTTCCATCAACATGTACAAATATTTGCTGTCCTTAAACGTTCTGTACAATCTGGGAATTGAAAACAAGAAAACAAGGGTTATCAACATTGTTGTCCTTGAAAAGAATGTACATGTTTTAAGTGCTCAGATTTACGGTCTGATACTTGATTTACCAAGCTTGAAATGGCATTAAAGGAAAGAGAGGGACCTGTTTGTAAATAGAGGAAAAGAAGGCAACAGGCTCCCGAGAAGTGTGTGGTGTAGAGCTAGTCTGTCCTAGACAATGAGTGCATGAGTTCTAAGGATTATGGACCAAAGTGGCTTCTTGGGGTCCCAGTATGGCTGCTATTTAGAGCATATGGACTCTTGAGCTATACTGAGTGGGGATAAACATTCAGTCTATCTGCATATAAAATAGATATACTTCACAACATAGACGTGTATGAAATTCCCGTGCTGTTCCTTAAATTCACCTTTGGCCCCGTTTTTAAATGCCCCTGAGAAATTAACTGGAACAGGTTTTATTTATTTATTTTGTATCGAAGACCTCCTAATTATCCACTTATCAATGCTCTGAAAATATGGAGGTGGGATAGTCCTTTCATTTTTTTTAATCTTCCCCAAATTAAAAAAAAATTACATATTATTATTCAAATAATTAAATAGAGGATAGTTATGTATTTTGTCTTTCAAGCTCCAGAAATCTACAGAGGGTTTTGGAGTCACAGAGTGCATCAAAAACCGAGATCCCTCCTTTGCGAAAAGCATGCTCTTTTCACAAGTCTGATTCTTTAAAAAATAAATAAATAAATAAAGGACAGACTCAAACTTCAAGTTTTTTTTTTTTTTTTAAGCCTAACAAAACTTTCTCTTAAAATCAGATTTAAGAACATGTTTCCTGGGTGCAGGAAGTGTGTGCTGGTGAGCAGGGGTGGTGGCGGGTTTGGTGACTGACTTTCCAGGGGAAGTGGAATCAGCATCCCTGAGGGTGCGGAGTCTGTACCTCACTATGAAGTCGGAATGCGCCCCCTGCATGATCTGCTTCTCCGAGCGGATGTGCTCCTGCTGCCTCGTATCCACGATGTGGCGTTTCTTGAGAATCTTCATGGCGAAGGTTTTGGATTCTTCACTTTTCAACTGGACCTTCAAGAAAAACACAGAAAATAAGTGAGGAAAGAGCCCACAGCATTAATGTAACAGAATGCCTTCTCGTCCCCAAATTACCCAGTGCATGAGCACTGCAGGGACGCCCTCCCCATCTCAGATGCCACCTGAGCGACACAGTTTGTGATCACCGGAGCCGGGAGAAATCCAGGTCTGTGACCCTCATCCATGTTCCTTCCCGTGGACCAGATAAGAGTGTAACCAGAGGCTCAATTAGTGTGGTGCCCGCTGGGATAGAGAGAGGGCAAGTGTGTTGGATTCTCACTGTGTTATTTCATTTCCTACCACATAGTGTGTTTGAGCGTAATTTATAGTTTCTCTTCTGCAATCAAAAAAGCATAAAAATGAAATTCTGTTTGCCTTCCAGCACTTGTGGTAGAGGTAGGATCCTATGACCTGAGCCGAGACCAAGAGCTGGAGGCTTCACTGAATCCCCCCCACCCCACCCCAGGCACCCCTCAACAAGGTGACTTGTGAGGAGATGAAGAGATGTGGGTGATGGGACTAATCACGTAATAGCAATATCAACATTTTCTAGCCCTGTTGAGCCACAAACAATCTTCAAGCCTGCATTATGTGGAACACATGAAAGCCTCAGGGAGACGACCTGACAAACCATTTCTGCTTTTCAGCTGAAGGATCACTGTCCCCTGGAGTTGTGAATTGTTTACTGTGTAGCGCAATTCCTAAGTGTGTCGTTCACGCACAAGTGTACAGACTGAATGCCATCCGAGAGGACATTCACAGGGCGGGTGTTTGGGTGAGAACACAAGGACACTTCACACCAACGGGCCTCAGGGTATGGGCAGCGTCTGTAAATCTCTATGACAGGTTATAGAGAAAAATGATATTTGAATTTGCTTTAAGCAGCCAAGGGCCCTCTACGCAGTCTGTGAAACTCTTTAGGACGACAGAGGAGTGGGATTCAACTGGATCCAGTGATCGTGCGTAATGAAACACAAAATGTGGACACCCATTTCTAAAAGAAATGTGGACAGTCAGCCTGAAAAATAAGCCGTATCACAGGGCTAAAGACCAGCGAAGAAATGAAGTCATGTTCTCTCTGGAGCCTTACTGTAATGATCTCAGTCTCTTAGGTGGTTTACACACCCGATGGAAAACGTGTCCATTATCTTCGCCGTGATAGTGACCTACATTTTTATTTGTACATAGGGTGGGAGGAAAAAACTCTGAGTTGGGGTCACAGGTCTGGACTTCAACCCTGAATTCGCTGAGTTGCTTCTCTGCTCTGAGCCCCAGTTCTTGCTGAAGAGTACACTGTATGGAGTTATCTCGACCTGAAGTGAGAAAGTGCCATGGGGTGGGAAACGGCCCCTATTTTCTCTGCTGGACCCCTGCCCCAGCCAGCAGGCTCTGCCGGATATCATAGGACAGCTGTCTGCAAAACTAAGGCAGACCCCTCTCTCCTCTGCTCAAAACACTGGAGTGCCTTTGCATCTCACTCCTAGGAAAGACAAAGCTGTCACAGCGGCTACAAGGTCCTAAACCATCTGGATCCCAGCTACCCGCTAACTCACTCAGCTGAGGCCACGCCCACCCCCTTGCTCCCCTTCCTGGAATACACTGCAAACATGTGCCTCAGTCTGTCTGCTTGTCTTTTCGGCCCAAATATTTTCCCACAGATATTCCCAGGAGTCCCCCTCTCAGTTCCCGAAGCTCTTTGCTCAAATGTTTCCTCATCGGCATGTCCTCACCCCAGACTCTGTAAAAGAAACGGCCCTGCCTCTCCCCTCCCTGCTTGCCTGTTCTCTCCAGCTCTATCACAAACTCCTACACAGAACAGTTTTCATTACTTGTTCAGCTCCTGTCTCCTTTCCCTCATCTGTAAGCGACCTGCAATGTGGGATCTTTTGACTCACTATCCCTGACACAGAGTAAATGCCTATTAGGTATTTGCTGACTTCATGAATCAAAGAGAGAACGTGGGGAACCATGACGATTGATCACTGGCAAAGCCACGACGGCACTGGGGTCTCGGCTCCACACTGTGCATCTCTTACCTTCCCAGGACAAAAATGAGGGAAGCTATGAGGACAAGCATGGGGTATTTGGTCTTTGCCTTTTGTCCCAAAGCACCCTTAATTAGGCATGGAAGGGAAGAAACGATTTCTACGTGTCAACACTGCATAGACACTATCCATGGCCAAATAACCACGCGATTCAGTTTCCAGTTCTCAGTTTATGTTTTTACAAGATGCTTTCTTAACCCAGCCATTTCCTTGATCAACATTCCCAACCACGGAGACTACTAGGTTAATAAGATCATCTCTACGACAATGTCCAGTTGGCTGCCAATGAGCTCTTGGGGTCTGTCCCCTCTTGAGACCACGGCCATTTGTTTGCGACCCATCTCCTTGCCTACCCTGCTCCTGAGTTCCCTTCCAGTGAACACACTCCACAATTCCATGAATATTGCCCATTTTTGTTCTCAGCAGCGCATCACCGTTATACCCACACCCAGATATTTATTTCACCACAGCCAGGACAGGAGATAAAATCATGCACTTATTTAGTTATTTCTTTAATAGTTTTGAACTGTAGATTAGGGAGAGTCTATGCAGGGAAATAAACGAAGCCCTCAGTAATGTCAGAGAGAAACGGGAATTAGCATTTGTGGAACACAGACATGCTGGGCACATCCCTATGTATTATTTTCAGTCACGACATCAACTCTTAAGGGTGGGAGGAACAGAAGTTTGTTGTGTTTTTACAAAGACTTCATCATCACTAATAATAATAGCTAATAGTAATAAAGCTCCCATTGTCAGGAATAGCAAAGTGAGTAAGTTTTCTCCCTTAATCTTCTAGGCACCCTTTTGAGGGACTGTTGTCATCCCCATGTTTCAGAGGAGCTAACTGAGAATTACCAGAGAGGGTCCTATCTTGCCCAGGGCCACAGAGCTGTCAAGTCGCAGGACTGGGTTTGTGCTCCCACGCTATTGGTAGTAAGTGCTGTTTCCCTTCAGCTGCATAGAAAACTGATGGCAGAGTGATTGATGCCTTACAAATGAGAGTTTAATGGAACTGGCCTCCTCAGACTTCACGAGAAAAGCTGAACTGTGCGCTACATGCCGCGAAGCTTCCCCCATATGCTGGAAATGCCAGAGCCCCACTGTCCTACCCCAGGATCTGGGGTACCTGAGTGATGGCTTCTCCTTGTGGAATTCAAAGACTTGAAGTGAGAGGGGAGGACCTGGTGCTAACAGCTGGTGGATGGCAGGGGCTGCTTCTAAAGAGTAGTACGCATGCAAACGCCACCGGGATGACTGGGGTCAGCCTCATCAGCTGCTAATGTAATGATCATTAGTTATAAGCAGTTTACAGAGTCCAACAGCTCACCTGCGGAGGCTTTCTGTTCAGTTTGCCAACTGAAACTATAGTTTCAGTTTCCACTTTGCTTGGGTGGAAACCGTCCCACCGTCTGGAACCACTGTCCTTTGCATTCTGTAAAGACCTGTATAGTTCCTTAAAGGAAAGCCTTTCTATTTTAAACTAGAAGGACACAGGACTCCCAGGATCCTGGCTCATAACTGAGAAGTCAGACAGCCCGAGGACTCCTGCTGGAGCTAATTCAACAAACACAGTCACTTCTGCTGCAGCTGATTCTCTTAAAAATACACTCCTGATTAACCAACATGTCAAACTCTTAGATTGTCTCTAATGGCAAAATTTGGAAACAATCTAAATGTCCATGCAGAAAAGTGTGGAAAAATAAATGATCATATGACCATGCGAAGCAGCTATAAAAACTAGGACGTAAAATGATGACTTAGCAAAGGGGAAAAAAAAAAAAAGGAGAGGGAGACAAAGCAAGAGAGAGACTCTTAAGTCTAGAGAACTGACGGTCACCAGAGGGGAGGTGGTGGGGCCTGGGGGATGAAGGAGGGCACCTGCCGTGATGAGCACAGGGTGATGTGTGGAGTTGCTAAATCACTCCACTGTACACCTGACACTAATATTACACCATATGTTAACTAACGGGAAGCAAGTGTCATTCTTTTCTTTTTTAAAGATTTCATTTATTTATTTGACAGAGAGAGAGAGATCACAAGTAAGCAGAGCAGCAGGCAGCGAGAGAGGGGGAAGCAGGCGCCCCACTGAGCAGAGAGCTCAATGCGGGGCTCGATCCCAGGACCCTGAGATCATGACCTGAGCCAAAGGCACTGAGCCACCCAGGCGCCCCAAGTGTCATTCTAAGTCTATTTTTTATTATGGAAAAACAGCCCTCCAAATTTATATACACACAGATAATATATGTATATATTATATATACATATTTACATATAAGAATACAGGATACAATCCAGCATACATTTTATGATCCCATAAATAATGTTTGTATGTATGTATATATCTATATCTAAAATCTAGGATGAGACAATCAGAAATGTGTTTCCCAATATGTTAATAATGGTGTTCCCTTAGGGAAATTTTCAGTTCTACTTCTTTTCGCTTTTTTGAGTTGCTTAACTTTTGTACAATTAGCATACATCCCTGTTTTGATGGGTAAACACAGTGATATTCAGGGAAAATAAATTTTGAAGTCTCTCTTAAATTGTATTACCTATGTATTAGTATCTGGCTCTCTTTAAGGATTCCGGGTCAGTGGGCATCACTCTGCTAGAGTTTCATGAATGCAAAGACCTTGAGAGGTTGTATATAGCATAACAATCTATTCGAGTTTGGACTGAACCACACTATTCAGCTCCTTAAAGGACCTGCCAAATTCTTTTGTTCAGTATGAACTCTCAGGGTAAGTTATAGCAGTTTGTACTTACTAGGCCTACACTATTAGGTTTTATTATGAAAGTGCTTTCGCAAGACGAATCATGAAAATTTTTAAGGTGAAATGTAGTTTGCTTTATATTTTTCCAGTTGGCCAAATGAATTATCCTAAGTCTGCTTCTGTCAAATTGAGATAATGATGATTTCGAAATCGGCTCATGCCAGTTCCGAGC